GTAAGTAGCAGACTGAGGACCGACCCCTCAGCACTCATTAACGCTGAACGACCTCCACATCCCCCCCATAAACAGGATGATGACAATATGTCTACTACCTGATGTAGTTCAGAAGTCACACACCCACCTCTCGCCAGGAAGGTCGCTGGTTCAGTCTACGGAAGGAGGAGGATCAACCCTACATTGATTCACTGTTTTACAACATACCTAAAAGAAAGCATAGTTCCTCAGCCGTATAATATTTTATACTGATGAACGGTGTAAATAAAAAATTAAAGCTGTACAGAGAGCGAAACGTTGTCCCATTAAAAACGTGTTCTTCAAAGTGTCTTGCTGCCTTCTTCTTCTTCAGCATCATCTTTCATTTGCTTTATTAGTAAAAATGTGATGAGAGTTCATGCATTATAAACCTTATTGTTGTGAAATGAAGTAGGGAGAGAAATTCTTTGTGGGGAGTGCATTAGCATGCATGGAGAGGTAGACGGGGGAATTACCACAGGCTGTGAGACGTGGAACATCAAGCTACCACCAAATTTACACCTAAATAGTGAAAATGTAAACTACGACCAGGCAGCACTAATTAGGTGCACGAATGTGTAGAAAAGTTGGTGTACGAGTGTTCTATTTCGTGTATGTTCGTCAGTCGCTCTACGAATATTCTATTTCGTGTATGTTCGTCAGTTGCTATGTGAACGTTATGAATAGCATTTATAATTCAGTGTAGAAACATTCCTTCCAGTGGAGAGTACATACATTCGTTTCTCGTACTGCAAGTACCCTCACAGCAGTGTAGATACAGTCCTTAACTTCCAGAACTAAGTAATATATATTTCTTTTAGCCAAACTGGATATATGAGGAGTATCTTGCTACCCTATTCTAGAGCATATTACAGTGGCATATTGGGTACAAACGCTAACTATGTTTCTCTGTCATATTCCATCATGCAGGATAGGTTACATACATAGTGGCGAAATCTGTAAGATTTGTTTAGTAAAAGGACACAAGTGCAACTAATGTGACATTTTACTGTGGTAACGCTTCGCTCTGCTTTGTTAAGCCATTACAAAACATTACAGGAACACAGACAGGAACCCAGCCAGCAGACTGCACAACACACGATGGGAACCCAGCCAGCAGACTGCACAACACACGATGGGAACCCAGCCAGCAGACTGCACAACACACGATGGGAACCCAGCCAGCAGACTGCACAACACACGATGGGAACCCAGCCAGCAGACTGCACAACACACGATGGGAACTCAGTCAGTAGATTGTATAATACGGTGTTAGAAGATGAAAACCGACCTAACAGACTATAATACGATATCGAACGATGGGAACTCACCTAAGAGACCACAATACGGTGTCAGAAGATGGAAATCCACCTAACAACCGAGGGTGGTCAATACCAAGTTTAGCTGCTCAGACATTTTTTTTATGTAAATTTTTAATTAGAAGTTGGTGCCATGGAGGCATTTATAATTTGACTAGATATAATTAAATATAACCTAACCTAATTACAAAAATACTAATTTTCTAGGTTAGGTTTAGTGGGTTATATTACGCTTGCTCATCAAATACCATTTTTTTCCTCTTAGGCCCAAGATATAAATGTGTCCACTTCATAATCCCCATAATGTTACAGAGTTTGCATAATAGCCAATATTTATGTTGAGATCCGAGTAGCTAAACTCAATATTGACCGCGAAGGTCGTCACCCAAAGTAAATAAATCACAGAACGGTGAGTTGTAGCACACGTCTGCCATGAGTTAAAGAAACACCCGCCCCCCCTCCCTTCCACCCCCCCCCCCAAAAAAAAAACACCCGCTCTGTGATTTGATTGCGGGCGTGTTACTACGATTTTGTGAGTCATTTAGCCAGAGTGTTATACTGATCTTGTTGACTAGGATGTTCTGCTGGCTTACACTCGGGACACCATGAAGATTTCATTATTATTATTATTACAATCAAAATTAAGCGATAAAAGAAGACTTTAGTCCCAGGTAGCGACGTCTGAAGTAACGTCAGCAGCGACGTCTGCAATAACGCCAGCAGCGACGTCTGCAGTAACGTCAGCAGCGACGTCTGCAATAATGTCAGCAGCGACGTCTGCAGTAACGCCAGCAGCGACGTCTGCAATAACGCCAGCAGCGACGTCTGCAATAACGCCAGCAGCGACGTCTGCAGTAACGTCAGCAGCGACGTCTGCAATAATGTCAGCAGCGACGTCTGCAGTAACGTCAGCAGCGACGTCTGAAGTAACGTCAGCAGCGACGTCTGCAATAACGCCAGCAGCGACGTCTGCAATAACGCCAGCAGCGACGTCTGCAGTAACGTCAGCAGCGACGTCTGAAGTAACGTCAGCAGCGACGTCTGCAATAACGCCAGCAGCGACGTCTGCAGTAACGTCAGCAGCGACGTCTGCAATAATGTCAGCAGCGACGTCTGCAGTAACGCCAGCAGCGACGTCTGCAATAACGTCAGCAGCGACGTCTGCAGTAACGTCAGCAGCGACGTCTGCAGCGAAGTCTGCAATAATGTCAGCAGTGACGTCTGCAGTAACGCCAGCAGCGACGTCTGCAATAACGTTAGCAGTGACGTCTGAAACGAAGTCTGTAGCGACTTCAAAGAGCGGCAACAAGAACTTTCATTCCAGCTTCAGTTTTTTCCCAGTCATTCTGTATATTAATTTACGTTCCACACACATATATACACATGTGTATATCCCGACGTATACTTTCCAAAGCAGGTTTAACATCGTGTAATTTTTACGTAGGTTATGTAGCGTACGTTTTGAACCAACATCTAACGTACGTTCTGAAAACAGGTTTCTCTAAACAAAGTTTCCTAAAGTATGTTTTATGACGCATATTTGATAACATAAGTTTTTAAACGTATGTTCTGTAACGAATTTTTTAAACGTATGTTCTGTAACGGATATTTTTAAACGCTCAGTAGCATATGTTTTATAACGCATGTCTTCTAACGTACATTTTACGAGTAAGTTCACTTGCTCTTCTAAGCTCTGCAAAGTTTGAAGACTTACTAGAACGCCACTTCACCTGCCATAATTTTCTGTAGATTGTCAAAATTCTTTCCTCACTATCAGAAGCGACTGACACTGGCTGACGCTGGTGGAGGAAGAACTCCAAGAACTAACTCGAAGTTACACAATCCTGTGGGATGTTCCTGAGTTACCCTCCTGAACTTCCAATCCACGCACCTTCTTTTCCAATCAGAAACCTAGAATGATGTATCGGGCCAATCAGAACTCAAGAATTGCCTGTCAGCTGCCCCGAGGTCCTTACTTACCTTTGTGTAGGTGAGAATGCTCTCAACACTCCTAAACTATGACTGACATTTTGTATATATAGTCAGGGGGTGTTTCTCTTACGCTAAGGGGTGTATCTCTTACGCTAAGGGGTGAATTAGACACATGTGCAACTCTTGGGTATCTTTATTGAGGAAACGTTTCGCCACACAGTGGCTTCATCAGTCCATACGTAGGAGAAACTTGAAGAACAGGAGGAGAATGAGGTAATCAGTCCCTCAACCTTGAGTCGATGTGTTCAGTCCATCAATCTTGAATAGTATTCTATTCAAGATTGATGGACTGAACACATCGACTCAAGGTTGAGGGACTGATTACCTCATTCTCCTCCTGTTCTTCAAGTTTCTCCTACGCATGGACTGATGAAGCCACTGTGTGGCGAAACATTTCCTCAATAAAGATACCCAAGAGTTGCACATGTGTCTAATTTATCAACATGTCGGTTCTCTGAACCATTCATCTACAAAAACGCTAAGGGGTGTATCTCTTATGCTAAGGGGTATATGCACCACGAGGTGTATATCGCTCAGTGTATATACTCTGAGAGCTTATTTTCGTCTCTTTTAAGGATGACTATCACTGATAAGTGTAATTCACACAACTTGTAATCTTAATGACCCTCGTGTATTTGAGAGACTTTAAATCTATAAACCAGCCAACCTTTCTCGATGTACAGTATATACACTGAGAGCAGCAGTGTGTACACACACTGAGAGCAGCAGTGTGTACATACACTGAGAGCAGCAGTGTGTACATACACTGAGAGCAGCAGTGTGTACACACACTGAGAGCAGCAGTGTGTACATACACTGAGAGCAGCAGTGTGTACATACACTGAGAGCAGCAGTGTGTACATACACTGAAAGCAGCAGTGTGTACATACACTGAAAGCAGCAGTGTGTACGTACACTGAGAGCAGCAGTGTGTACATACACTGAGAGCAGCAGTGTGTACATACACTGAAAGCAGCAGTGTGTACATACACTGAGAGCAGCAGTGTGTACATACACTGAAAGCAGCAGTGTGTACATACACTGAGAGCAGCAGTGTGTACATACACTGAGAGCAGCAGTGTGTACATACACTGAAAGCAGCAGTGTGTACATACACTAAGAGCAGCAGTGTGTACACACACTGAGAGCAGCAGTGTGTACATACACTGAGAGCAGCAGTGTGTACATACACTGAGAGCAGCAGTGTGTACATACACTGAGAGCAGCAGTGTGTACATACACTGAGAGCAGCAGTGCGTACGTACACTGAGAGCAGCAGTGCGTACGTACACTGAGAGCAGCAGTGTGTACATACACTGAGAGCAGCAGTGTGTACATACACTGAGAGCAGCAGTGTGTACATACAATGAGAGCAGCAGTGTGTACATACACTGAGAGCAGCAGTGTGTACACACACTGAGAGCAGCAGTGTACACACACTGAGAGCAGCAGTGTACACACACTGAGAGCAGCAGTGTGTACATACACTGAGAGCAGCAGTGTACACACACTGAGAGCAGCAGTGTACACACACTGAGAGCAGCAGTGTGTACATACACTGAGAGCAGCAGTGTACACACACTGAGAGCAGCAGTGTGTACACACACTGAGAGCAGCAGTGTACACACACTGAGAGCAGCAGTGTACACACACTGAGAGCAGCAGTGTGTG